CACAACAAATTGCTATTCAAAAGTTATGTCATGAGTGAAGCTAAGAAACATTGCCACTAAGCTTCGGGTTGGACATATTGGCAGGAGTTCCCCAGTTTTCAGTTTCCAATCGCAATAGAGCCCAAAAGAGCCTCTAAGCTGCGGGTCAGATGTCTTCTATCCCGTGGCCTAGACATCTAAGAGTCGGTGAACATATCAGATCAATTTTCTTTTCAATCATTTCACCTCAAAACAAAACAATCAAATAAAATCCGGTTGCTAAGCGTTAAAAAATATGAGAAAAAAATATTAAAGAAAGAAAATTATATAAATTACGAAAACAGAATATATCGATTGATTATGCATTTAAATCTTTGAAGATCAAAGGTAACTGTAAATCAAGGAGCTGGAAGAGATTTCCTTCAGTGAAAAGTTCAATAGAAGAATCTGTTAATGTAAAACTTACGGTTCCATCTAACCATTTCAACTCTAAATTGATGAAAGCTTGCAGGCAATCTAGCACTGTACTTTGATTCATAAAGATTAGGCACCAAAAAACAATTACCATGAAAATATTTGTAGAAAAGGCCTAGGAAATCTACGTTACATCTAAGGAAAATGACAGAAACCGAGACACCAGGTCAGGACCACTAAAATTGCATATTCCTTTTTATTTTTATCAATAATATCTAAACGCGATGTGACAGTAACATTCAATGTATGGACGAATGGTAGATTTATAAATTTGTAAGATAGATTCGAGGGAAAAATTGTCTATCAGCAGACTTAGCAATTGATTCAATATCATTATTCCACTTTGTGCCAGTTGAAATTATTTGCCCGAAAAAGCGTAAGGAGACATTCTTCTGGAGATTAGCCAAGAGGAAGGAGGGAAGGAAAAATGGTTATAAAAACATTTTGCGAATATTCCCTCCGTAAAACCTCTGCCTTAGATTTTTTGATCGAACTTTAACGCTATATACAACTAAAAAATGTTTTAAATAAACTTTTTATTGCTCCATATTTTTTTGGGGGGTGGTCAAGTTTAATTTTTTCTTGAAACAACAAACGCTTAGTTTATCGTTTTTGTTTCATTTTATTACGAATTATACACACACACACACACACACACACACACACATATATATATATATATATATATATATATATATATATATTGTTATACGTTATTTATATAAACACAAGATAAATACACTGTCTATAATAAACAGTCTTAACAACATTTACCGGCCTGAATGTCCGAGAAATATGCTAGAAAAGATGCATCCGGCGATATGAATCGATCTTGTATCTCACACGAAACCGTCTTATAGCAGATATAAACGATCGATGGAAACGATGGGAAATTTATAGTTTAAAAGCAGCAAATCGACATTGCTAACCAGAGGCATCCTTCGTAGCTAAACAGGTATAGCACGTCAGGCTATATGATGGATTCCAGTCGGAGAACACATATTTTCTATGAAATTTCTCGGTCGTCCAGGCCGGTAAATGTTGTTAATACTGTTTATTTTAAACAGAGCATTTACTTAAATAAGTTTGTCTATAAAAATAACGTATAACAATAAAATATATTAAAATGATTGTTGGACTTAGTCCGTTTCATAATATATATTTATATGCGCGTTACTTAGTGGAATGTCCCCAACAACTGTGATAGGACGAACATATTCAATTATATGGATATTTCTAACCCTGGGTTTTACGCTTTGGCGATCATCATACAAACCATATATATATATATATATATATATATATATATATATATATATATATATATATATATATATATTCAGTTGTATGGATATGAGTTTTGCGATCACCAGACAAACTCTGAAGATGTTTACTCTATCACTGATTATTGAACACTTTTTCCATATAAGATTATATATATATATATATATATATATATATATATATATATATATATATATATATATATATATATATATATATAAACAAGTTTTATTATATTTCACTGAAAATGTTTCTCTATTCAACTTTTTATTATATATTTCCAATTTCCAAATGAGGTGTTGTATTGAAGTTACTATGCAGCCAACACCCGTGTCTTGGCAATGATTGTGTTGGAAGTGTTTGTTTGATTTGTGTCGAAAGAAATTGAATATAACAGAACAAAACCATGAAGTAGCCAATTTATTCATAACTTCAGACCCGATGTCCAACATATGTGTAAATTGGAATGATATAATAAATTGTGAATATGCAGACAACAAAAGGAACACAATAGTCCGCAAATATAAATCACATATTTATATGTACATAATGTAAATATTTCCCCTTGAGTATCTTCATCGTTGTTATTTATATCATAACAGTTTGATCGATATAAACTTCAGTCTGCCTTAGGAAAATGGGAGCAGAGACAGCAAGTCAGGACGGCAATTTGATTCAAAAGTTTCGCATCACCAACGCCGAGTAATCATACGCCAGGTAAGTCGATTTACACCAACGTTTTCCGAGACTTCAGTGTCGATGTTGGCCTGTGTCAGCGATGTCGTCAGCTGATCGTTGAAGCGTCATTTCCGGTCTCATTGCAGCCTCTGGACGCTAGCGAGCTCTCCAAACTGGATGATACGTGGGTGTCGAATGGTGCTCATTGGGATTCAGCGGTGACGATGTTGAAAGATAGTCGCCTCGAAGCCGAATTGAGACGTCCAAGACAGGACCTTGTTGTTGGTGGTGGGGTCCCCTTCCGAGCTTCGTTTGCTGGAATCGCTCCATGTCTCGTAAGCGTACACAAGGGTGATGAGAACCCTGGCACTAGAACCATGATTTTGGTTCTAATCCTGAAGCAGTGATTGATGAAGACCCGGTGAAAACGCGAACAATAGTCTGCATGTAAATAATAACTCTTCATAGCGGTAATTCAGAAAGAAGACAATGGTTTCTAATAAGAACAATGATGATGACAATAATGCACATTTAAATAATTACATCACCCCATCACAGTAATCCAGAGATAAGTCAATCGGCTGATAATAACAACAAAGATGAGGAAAATAGTTCGCATGCAAACAATGATACCAACCAATCTCCAAAATTCAGAGTGGAATAATATTTGGTGATGGAAATTCTTCACCTCATTGCTTCAGAAAATGTATGATGGTTGAATATTGTAGATTGATTTTAAAAAATATTAATTAAGATACTCGATCGAATAATATATTCAGTAATAAAAAATATGTCTCTTAAAATCTTAAAATAATATAGGAAGTTCGACCACCATATCGGCTTCAAAACTTTCACACATACTACATGTGACATTCCAAAACATTAGAATAATGAAAACACTACTTACTGTTTTTTGAAAAAATTATTCTCGCTGTTTTCTTTAAAATTCTCAATGTTGCATTTTCGTTCTGACTTGACGCTCTTTTAATAATAATCAGTCGCATTACTTTTGTTTGTTTATAATACTTCATTGTTTTTTTTTTAACGAAATGGAAATACAAGACCCATGCCCAGCATGTTTTGAAATTACAGTTTATGACAGCAAAGGCCAACGTGTTCAATCTGCCTTATTTTTTCTCGACTAGTTGTTAGCAAAGACTAAAGTGCTCAGTTGGCTTTATTTTTTACGTCTAGATGTCAGCAAAAGCTAACGTGTTCAGTCTAACTTATTTTTTACGACTAGTTGTCAGCAAAAAATAACGTGTTCAGTCTAACTTATTTCTTACGACTAGTTGCCAGCAAAGCCTGACATGTTCAGTCTACCTTATTTTTCTCGACGATTTGTCAGCAAAGGCTAAAGTGGTCATTCAACCTTATTTTTCTCGGCTAGTTCTCAGCTAAAACTAACATGTTCAATCTACCGTATTTTCTCTCCATTGGTTGACACAAAGGTAAAGTGCTCAGTCTACCCTATTTTCACGGCTAGTTTTCTGCAAATCTTAACATGTTCAGTCTACCTTATTTTTTCTGGACGAATTGTCAGCAAAGACTTGACTAGTTGTCAGCTAATGCTAACGTGTACAGTCTAGCATATTTTTCTCTACTAGTTAGCAGCAAAGACTAAATAGCTAAGTCTACCTTAATTTTCACAACTAGCTGTCAGCAAAGGCCAACATGTTCAAATCTCCTTATTTTTTCCCGACTAGTTGTCAGCAAAGGCTAACGTACTCAGTTGACCTTATTTTTCTTGACTAGCTGTCAGCTAAGGCTAACGTGTTCATTTCCACACATATTAGAAGATGAGGCATTCTAAAACATTAGAATAATGAAAACACTACTGCTTTTTTGAAATATTTATTCTCGCTGTTTATATTAAAATTCTCAATGTTTCATTTTTGTTCTCGTTGTTAGCAAAGGCTAAATTGCTCAGTCGGCCTTATTTTTACCCCATTGCTGTAGCGAGAACGAATGGATTCGTACATTTCCTACGGGTATTTGCGCAAAACTGAATGTTAGGAACTCGACAGGATTTCGAACGAAGCTCGAAGATTTTGCTTTGCAAGGCGCTAAGCATTACATCACCTGTGTCTCCAACCCGACTTTGCAACCTTCCTTCACTTTACGCCCTTTTGCTTTCCTTCTGAATGTCCAAGCTTCCTCTCTGGATGTTAATGGCTTTTGAGAAAGCACTTCACAGACTGCAGCTCTATTCGCTAAACGTCTTAATTCGTTCGACATTCAGAAAATCTACGCGTTTTCTTGTTCAACTCGCTGTTAATGAACGTCGTACGCAAGAAAACTTTATTCGAAGAATTAATGTTGCTGCCGTTGTCTTGCTCTCAGACACCCTTAAAAATCTCAAATTAAACACAAACAAGATTTCCTCTTGGAGAATGCGTCCATTTCTCTATTTTCGATGGAGTCAAAATTACTTACATTATATACAAGTGAACTATTGTCCTCATCTTTGTTGTTACAATAACGTTTCGAACGTTGTGCTCTCCCTCGTTCTTCAGATGTCTGTCGATCCTTGCACAATAATTTCGAAGTAACTAATAGATATGCAGGGTATCCATAAAGTTCGTATGCTCTCTCTCTCTCTCTCTCTCTCTCTCTCTCTCTCTCTCTCTCTCTCTCTTGCAGTCTGGGAAGTAAGATAGCGAGATGTAAGTGGTGATGTGGTTGCAGAAATTGTCTGACAGCCATGACTGGGTTCCCTTGCTTGTGTGGCATGGTGCAGAGTCTTGTTGCCAGCCATAGGATCTTCCAGCAGACACGCTCTTGACCCATGACAGCACAACTTCCTCAAGGTACTTGATGATGTAGACCTCGGTGTTGAGTCTGAGGTCCTCACCAACAAATTAAAAGGTTTTTTTTTTTTTTTTTTTTTTGTATCAGAACAATCAAAGTGAGTTTTCCGAGCTGCCATCTACCCTCCGTAATCAACAATAGAATCATCCTACTTTTTCCGAATCCTCTGCATATTTCCCCGGATTGACACCCACACACTCTGAAATGATCGTATTGGAGATTCTGGCGCGAAGACCAAGCAGTACAGCATGCCGTTTCCAAGTTTATGGCGGAATGAATTAAGTCATCATGTTCTTTTTTCTCCTCCTAGAAGGGTGCCTCAGTGAGCTTACTATACGGTGCTGTCGATAAAATCTAAAACAAACAACGCATAAGCGCGAAATTAAAAATATAATATTGCGACAATTTACCCATCGCAATCTGTATAAGAATATATACAGATAAATAAACCGGAAGTGATGAAACGTAGGTCTCCATAAATAAACCGGAAGTGATGAAACGTAAGTCTCCATAAATAAACCGGAAGTGATGAAACGGAAGTCTCCATAAATAAACCGGAAGTGATGAAACGTAGGTCTCCACAAGTTTCTATCCTTTGTATATTTTTGCAATGTTTGTCTTTTTACCATTCATATCACTTCCTGTTTTAACATTTGCCTTCATGTCGTCCTTCGTACCACATTTCCGAAGATCTCCCCCTCCTGTTTATGCCACCCAGAAATCTCAGCTGACTCTTTCTTATCTGTCTATATTTCTGAGATTAGGTATTGTAACTATTTACACTATTTTCATTGTCAGGACTTTTGTCCTCATTATTTTTTATTTTTTTTGTTATATGCCCAACGTTTCAGCCGTTGTACGCTCTGGACTTCTTCAGGCGATTTTTGTTTGAATTTCGAACAGGACAGAACACTTTCATTTAGTCCAAGGCAATAAATTGTTATAATTCCACATATAACGCCCTTGGGTGTCTTGTTTTCAGTTTATTCGCCTTCATATTTTTTTGTTTTCTCCGCTAAGTCCAGGGATCGAACTAACAACTCATTAGGTGAATCACTTTTATGATCAATCAACCAACGCCTTTATCCAATGGGGCCAAATACTATTGGAGAATTAAGTGAAACTAAGATATCATGAGGCATGATACGTGGAATTAGCTTAATCTACCCCCGTTGACTCAATAAAGATTTCGGTTCGAAATATCAATAAATAGGAAAAATGAAGAAGATCGGGTGTACAGCACCTGAAACCTCGTGAATGTTATACTATTTTATACTAATGCTCAGCCAATTGAAGGCCCAAGAGCCGCCAAATGTAAAAGATTATTGTGTAGTGGTATATGAGTGAAGTACAACATAATATATCCAGTTCTTGAGTTTATGTAGGTAATATAACGATTAATGAAAAGGTCAAGATTGTAGAAATTGGGAAAGCAGTCTCATTGAGTCTGTTTCATAAAGCAGCAATTCTTGGTAAGAATCCGTCTGAGTGGAACTTACTCCTTACTAATGGAATACAAAGGGAATAAGCATGATTTTGTACGGGGAATGGCGGGTTCCAGCTGTAAGGGTTAAGATTTGTGAAACCAAAGATTGTATTTCGTCAGACAACTTGCCATAGAAATAGCGATAGTATACAGGCTTTCGATATTTCACCTCTGGGAAAGGGGTTGTAGATTCAAAAATTAATTCATCACCCTACAGGTCGCGTAGACGGTTTGGAAATCTGTCAAGTGATGTCTGGCCAACTCCAGCCGAGACATTGAATCAATACATATATGCGTCTTATCTGGCTATTGTAATGATAGAGTAAAGCAGGTCGTATCAAATATTTACATGAGTGGTAAAAACATTGAACTGACCATTTTCCATATTTTTAGAAATATATCTTGAGGTTTGGTATGAGCTTGAGGCCGGAAAGACGTTCAAACAATGCGCCTCGTTGAAAGAACACCCATACGTCATGATAGGTGGAAGTCAAGGGTCTATACAGTTATGGTTAGCGTTAAGTTCGATCGTTATTTACTACAGAAAAGATTCGCACATGAAAATAGCTGAAGGATTTGCATAAAACTGAACTGATGTCTGTATTTCATTGTTATAGAATGGTTTCATCAAAAAAGAAATAACATCTATCAGATGAGAATTGACTTTCCAATTGACGATCGAGTCGTAATCGTGCTAGTCACACAGACACGGAAGTTTGAGGAATATGTCTCTTATCATTCTTTTACATGTTCATTACCATTCTTCCAGGTTTTTTTCCCTCGTCTATTCCATCAGGCGTCTTTTTTTGTTCTGTTCCAAAGAAAACGTTAAATTATTTTGAAGAAAATATGCTTTTTATTTTCTACCTATTTCAATTTACGATTTGCGTCAATCATTTTAACTGATTTCACATTCCAACCGTTTTTTTTACAAGACAATTTACATGTTTTTTTTTTAGTTTTTTTTTTTATTTTTCCCCGCTTCTATTTTCTCTCGTCATTCAACAGTCGACATGTTAACGAAATTCAGAACACACATTTTCTTGTTCGAAGCTTCGTTAGTAAAATTCTGACAAAGAGAAAGCAAAAAGCAAAAAGTCTAAAAAAGCTAAAAAATAAACCACAGGATTTTGGCCGCTTGCTGTAGAGCAATATATCACGAACTCATTTTCAACAGATTACTCGCTAGGCTAGTGACTTTAGGTCCCACATAATACTCTGTGGTGTGTTTTCTTTATAAATATCTTTTTCTACCGTCAAAAATAATCGTGAAGTTGTGTCGATATATGCGTCGTCTTAGGGAAACTGAGTTCATTCAATATCGAAAAACTATCAATTTTTCTAATATTTTTTTATTCATCTTTATTTCCATGACAAATGTACCCTATCTTTATTTACATGACAACTGTTGAGGTGAGCACCATTATTTAGTTCCACCAGTTCAAACCTTGACAGCTGCAAACGCCATCCTACTTCCACGGAGTCGAATCATCCCCATTTCCCCCATATTTCAAATGTTAGAAGTTCCACTCAGATAACAGTTTCGTAAGAACTGCAACGTTGTAAAACAGACACCATCGTTGATGCCTCTAGGAACGCTACAATCTTATCAAATGTTTAAGACGATAAACTATATCAATTGTCCTGGGTAAGACGATTAACTAAATCCAAGTCCTGGGGAAGACGATTAACTACATCAGCGTCCTGGGTAAGACGATAAACTACATCCGACAGCAATGCATCTCATCAAGAGATTTTGAGGTGCGTGGAACCACCTCTTAAATGCTGTTGTTCCCAAGTTCACCCTGACCCGGGGTGGTAGCACCTATTAGAGTCCCAACTATGGGCAAATAGGTAATCTCCAAAACGGGGTCAAAACCCTATGAAAGTGTAAAAATAAGTTTTAATACCAGCAATTTTTTTTGAAAAAAATATTACCAGAAATACTTTTTTTGGAAAAAAAAGATATTACGAGCAATAAAAATATTGTCGGTTTTAAATAACCCATTGAGGTTGATATACCGTAAAAAAAAATCAATCAACGGTTAACCTCCCCATCCTCTTAATTCTTCTTCTATATTTCGTCTAACAACTCATTTATAAGATGCCACACCGATTGTCGCGAACCACCATCATTCCTTGCGTAGTGCATTGGTGAGATGTAAGTTAAAACAGCTTCTTCATACGAACAGCTGTTTTGTGGAACCGACTCCAAAGAGGATTCTTCACCAATAACTACAATTTTAACCTATTCAAGTAACCCTTAATTTCTTCACATATCCCCATAATCTATGCCTCTTACTCTGTAAACCTCTACTGCGAGGGTCATGGTCTTTGTACAGAGCGAACATCATTGCAGAAAATAAAAATTAAAATAATAAGCAATTTTAAAAGTAACGCGCTATATTGATTGGCTCTCGAGCTTTTTATTGATTGAATATTATAAATAAATACTAGGATATCATCCATTGGGATTTGCTTTCTCCCACGCAGAGACACGTTACAGAACATATTTTATTCTAGAAAGAAAAAAAATAGTTTTTATTCTTCTAGATTCATCAAACATTTGTCTAAGAAGAAATATTTTTTTTTAAAAAAAATAATGTGTTGGTCACGTTGACAAGCGGTCTTGAATTCATTTGAGAACATTTAAAACAATAGAAACGAATATTTCCAATTTTTTAAGCACCCTCCTCCAGCAAGGCGGGAATGCCTCTAGCACGCAGGGGTTTACAGAGAGTGTGTGCAAGAGTAAAGAGTGGTGTTTGAGGAACAGATATAGAGGAGGACGCAGATCGGAATCAAGGCACCAGAAGATGTCGATTGACATTACATTTGAATATATGAAGACTATAGCTATCAGGGAAGCAAGTAAGAGGAAGGGAGTTCCACTGTCGGGAAGTGCGAGATAAGAATCTATTGGAGTAGAAAAGGCGGCTACATGTAACAGTTTCGACAGTGAAAGAGTAGGCCCGAGATGCCAACCTAATAGCTCGCTTAAATTCATGCAGTTGATGTACCAGTGAAAACAGAGAAGGAAGCCACATCACGTCTATGAGAAAGTGATTGTAGACGAGATGCCAGATCAGGACCTATCACATTGCATATCCGTTTCTGGATTTTGTCTAGGACCTCTAGATGAACAGCGAGCAAACTAGACGATATTCGGCAACAATATTCAATGCAAGGACGAATCATATTGTAAATTTGAAGGATGGATTCGGGAGAGAAAAAACTTCTGGCGCAACACAGAGAAACAACTATCCTTGCAGTAGATGAAGCTATTGATTCAATGTAGTTGTTAGACCTCAGAATTTGGTAATCAGCCATGCTGATAGGAGACAGGGAGGCTTCTCTATGATGGGTAAATAAGAACAGTTTCGTTTTGGAGGCATTAAAGTTCACAAGCCAAAATTTCCTGACTCAGTCAACCACAGATTGGAGGTCGTTTTCAAGACCGCTGACCAGGTTAGTTTTGTCAGCGATGCCAGATTTACTATTAAGACACGAGTAAATAGTAGATACCTACATGGGAGTTAATGAAGACCAGAAACAGTGTAGGACCCAAGATAGTGACTTGGGGAGCACCAGCGTTCGTATGAGAGGAACTGGAGGAGAATCCGTTTAGGACGACCTTCATTTCATGCTTTGACATGAATGATTGTATAAAATCAAATAATCGTCCTGTTACACCGTATCCCCAAAGAAGGCCAGCAGGCCAAACACTATCAAACGCCTTAGAGCAATGATTCCCAACTCAGGGCGCTTGCTCTGCCGGTGGGGCATGGTAATATTTCAGTGTGGCATGCGTAGGATGTCACCCTTCGGCTTATTATACCAACTGAATAAGGGGCAATTCGAGAATGAGTTTTGAACAGTGAACTTTATTCTAGTGAGCTCAAATCTCATTTTGCATTATTATTTGATGATTAAAACGATCAAAGTATATTACAGAATAAAGCTTTCATTCAAATATTTTATATTTCTGCCTTTCAGTTCTCTATTATATATTTTGAAACGATATATATTTAACTATGTTTTTTGTTTTTTTAAATTTTTTCTCTTTCATGGATGCCATGGTCTTTGGAGGCTTGTTTAGAAACCAAGTTAATGGCCGTTTAAGCTTCCTCCGCGTGAATTGCAGTAAAATTTTGAATATGCAAGAATAAAATATTACAGATGGGTGGAGGCAAAAGAATATTAGAAATAGCAAAGTGGGGCATGGCCCAAAATCGGCTGGGAACCACTGCCTTAGAGATATCTGCAACTTTGAAGGATTCACTGCTTATCATAATTGAACTGCAGTTTAATGTTTCTAAATGTGGGTCCGTTTCCAAGTTCTGAGGGTTTTAGCAAACAGCATACATACGCATACACAACGAGCGAGGTGTCTTGGGAGATAGCAGAGGGAGAAGTTAGTTAAGAGCTGCAAGCGATAGAGGGAGGTGAAGAGCCATGATCGCCTCCGCCCTGAAAGGAAATGGCACATAAAAAGAAAAAAACAACAACAACAACACAGGTTTAAAATGGTTGGTGTATGGCCGCTAAGCTTGAGAAATAAGCCTCGACGATATTAGGCTTTGGATATGTGTAACTAAATGGCAAAGCAAATATGTTACATCGTAAATAAATTTATTCATCTAGAAACATTATTTTTAGATTTCTAATCAGTTGGAATGAAAAGAAATCTATTAAAGTTTTGTTTTTAATATCAGTTTATTTTTCAATTCAACATGTGAGATTAAAATCATTTTAATCATATACATCTCAAAGTCATTTATGTTGATTTGAATGTAATCAAAAACGAGTATAAGGGAAATCGAACTTAATATTTTTATGTTCTTATCAGCAGTTTCCTTTCATGTTAAGATTTTCTTTACCATGGTTGTAAGCGGAGCGCCTAGGCACGGGGGAAAACCTAAAATAGACGGGCGGTTTTCAGGCACTACCCAACAGTGCTGCAGATTGAGATTTCTATCCAGGTCTGATAATGTCAAGAAGTAACCTTCCTGAAAAAATCGACCATGGTAATATTGGAACAGGGTCTTTAGTTGGAAAATGCAAGTATTGTTCTTTGCACAATGTCAACGCGCCTGTTTAATGGTCAATTACAATTCCCACTAATGATTTGAAAGTATAAACATACTGAGAGAGAAGTATTATCGTTTCCTCCTCCCTTATACACTCTTTTTTTTTCCATCTCTCTACCATCTGTTATACGCTTCGTCTATCCATTCTTTTCTAATCTATCTTTCTCTATAGCTCTCACCCCACCTCTCTTACTTCTCAACTATTATTTTCACTATTTCCACCTGCTCTTCTCTTCCCTCTCACTACGTTTCTTTCTCTCTTTCGTTTTTAAATTTCTCTTTCTTTTTCTCGGTTATTTTTGTCTGTCGTTCATTTATTTGTCTTACTCTCTCTTTTCATTGATTACCTTCCGCCTTCAACTCCTTCTCTTTTACTTTTTTTCTCTCCTCGTACTCTTTTAGCCGCTCACTCTCTCTTTTCACCCTCTGTTTGTCGCTTTTATTTTCTCGTCGGCCTCTACGTCTCCTGGCTTACAGACACATCGCGTTGAAATACATGGTCTTGTACGCTCAAGCATGGTCAGTACCTAGAATGGTGACAACTTGGGGATGTCCGGATGGTGTAACGGATAATGACTCGAAAAATCATAACTGGAGACCCAAGTTCCAATTTTAGTTGGGTTCGTGATAATCACTTGCGCTCAATTACCCTTAGAACAGGAATTAATCTACCTCTTCTTTCACCCCCAGTTATAGGTTAAATAGTAAGACTTGTATCACTAAATTATTATTATTATCTTAAAATGAATTCTTACAGTCTGAAAATATTTTCTGACTTTAAATAATTTACAAAGGGTTGATAAGACGTAAAAAACGAATCAACCAATCGAACTCTTCCGCACAATCAATGAAGACGGTCTCTGTTTTGTTTCTTTTCCTCTACCTCCATTTCCTTTCTGTTGTAGAGTAGTTTTTCACAGTGGAGGCTTGTACTTCACTAAGTCGGTCCTAAAAAGGTTCGACGTACAAAACGTTAGAAACTTGAAATAAATAGTTAAGGACGCAGCAATCTAGTTGTGGTGGTTGATACTTTAATGTCCGACATCGACTGACTGACTCAGCTACTGATCTCCCCTCGCAAACTGCTACTACTACTACTTAGTATCTATGGGAGAGTCTATTTACCATAGAATAGGTAGTATAACATTTTCTTGTTTGCTTTCTCTCTTTTACATCCTTTCTTTTTTTCTCTTTCTGAGATTCACTCTCTTTCGTTTTTTTTGTTTCCACGCTTTGCTCTGTCTCGCCTACTTCAATTCTTTCTTTCTTTTTTTTCTTTCTTTCTTTCTTTCTTTCTTTCTTTCTTTCTTTTCCAACATGATGTATTTGTTTCCTTTTCCCTCTCCTTCATTCATCCTTTCTCCTTTTTTACTCTTCTCTTTTCCTTATTTCTCTAACCCATTCTCTCCCTTTCCCTCTACCGTTCACTCTTACTCCTGCTCTCTCTCCTCTATCTCTCTTTCCTTCTCTACACCACTTAACTCCTTTTCCCACCATTCTCTCTAATCCACCCTACCCTTAACTATTCCTCTCTTCTTTTAAAATTAAAAATTCATTCAATGGCAATTATCAATCGATTAATTATATAATTTACAGCCTATTCATCCACTTTTAATCCTTTTGTAAATCGAACATTTTAAGCTCTCAGAGGTGGATAGATCTGGGTAGTCTCTTAGGAGGGACGGGGATGGAAGATGAACGCGTGGGACAAGAGCGTACGGGGCGGGGTGAAAATGTTTTACTCCATGTGGTCGTTTTTCATTAGGCGTTGTGTAGACGTGGATGTTTGAGATAGACGTACAAATCTGTGAGATGGTTGGTTATGGTGAAAGATAATCTCGATAGAAGGGGAGAGATTGGGAGAGATAACTCAGGCGAATCTGGTTAAATACACGGAGATAGAGACAATTTAATGTAAGAGAACACTTGAAATTATATATATATATATATATATATATATATATATATATATATATATATATATATGTATTATTAAAGACACGAACACCTAAAATTTCATGAGGTTATATTTATTTCGTTAGGGTCTTAAAAAAAGCCCCAATTCTTCAGACCTTCTAATCCAAAATTGTCCACTTGTCAGATTAAGCTCTGAACTTAGCAATGATTAAAAATTTCTTCCTTCAATTCTCCAAGGTTTTTATAACGCTATTGTACTCTGATAAATAAGAATATATAATCATTCTCTAAGCTTAACGGAAGTATCGTGAAAATGACACGTTTATCATTAATTAATCATAGCTAAGGTTCAGAAGCTCATGAAATAAATTTCGAATATATATATATATTTTATTCCATCATAATGTTCCAAAATATTCAAGGTGATCTTCGTCCTCTCTAACTTTCTAAAGTTCTGTCCTGGAGTTTCAAGGTGCCTCACAGGTTTCACGTATGATTTCCTTTTCAAGTTTTTTTTTTCACTGCTCTTTGAACTGTTATTGAGATTTCTCTCTCACGTGTTAAATGCCTTAGGAATTAAGTTCGATTTTTTGTAATTGATTTCTTTAACTCTGAATTGAAATGGTGATCTCTCTTCCTGTTGTGACCTCTTGATCCAGTTTTCCTTTCTACAGTTACTTCTTCTTTTTTTAAACTTATTCACCGCTATTTTGATGATCTTGAATGAACTTTGAAGATGTAAAACAGAGTATGAATGTTGACATCATTACTGAAGGCCTGAATGATGTTTTTCCTCTCCCCATTGCTCCATTGGGAAAAGAGTGAGGCTGACACAAAATAATTTTAACCACCTCTCGTTTTAGCAGAATAACTCGAAGGTTTGTTTTTTTTTATTGATTCTTACAAACAATGGGGTCAACATGGCTAAACGTTTTATCTGAAAACCTGGAGAAAAAAAACTAAATAATTATGCTGTTACACGATTTGGACAATTTTGCTCTTATACTCGGTAAATATATATATATATATATATATATATGTTTGTGTGCTTCTGTTTAGATAGATATGCATGCATGTATGTGTGTGCGTGTGTGCGTGTGTGTGTGTGTGTTTGTGTGTGTACCCACAAGATTTAGATAAAGGAATATGCAACGTATGTCTGCCTTCTCGGCGTCATTCAGCGATTTCCATCAAATGATTAGCTTGAAAAAAAAACGCGCCGTAATGTACCAATCTCCTAAAGATAAGCCGGCGTTGATTCAAGCAGATATGTTTGTGGTTAGGAAATTCAGGCTCTCCTTGAAATATAAGAAAAAAGCCCTGAATGATGAAATCTCCCATCCAGCATCGAATGAAGAAGTCCAGAAAAATACAGACCAGAAACGAACGAAAAAGTTGGAGCGATTTCACAAACAGTGTCACTGCCATATTTTGGATCTTCGGTGACAAATGTACGCGGGCTACGTTGAAATCATCGAACGCAGTCTATCTGCCAGTATAGAGTCTCTCCTACTTCAACGCTGATTATGATGGAGAGTAATGAGGTCTAGAAAAAAGACGACAAAATTCAAAGCCACTTTCTATACAGTGTATTGTCAAAAGAAAAAGAAAGACTATTTCGCAAACAGAATCATAAAACACATCACACAAGGCAAACGTTATGCAAAATAACTGTGGAAACGTAGCCGCACATTTTTCCATCTTACAGGAAACGAACGCAAAATGGTAAGACTTTTGAACAGAATTGTGTTAAGCATGAAAAAAACCCAAAAGAGACACTTGAAAGTGTTTTTTACGTGAAACTCCCATAAAATGTGGCTACAAATCTGTAATGAATGTCGTAGCGTTTGTCTACGTGGAGAAGGCCACGAAAATTTCAAAGACACCACATGCGCACATAAATCATTTATTACACGCTGTGTGTCATTTATGTACCAGCTCCTGCAAGATACCTACCATTGCCCCATCTCTACAGGAGAGTGTAAGACCGTAGCTGAATTAAAAACCATATTTGACGATGGGTCGATGGCAATGCTTGAAATTGAATTGCATTCATCACGTGTCTGTCTACTATAATATAGTGTTTTGCAAAATATTTGACGCACACCTACACAGCTCCCTCTCTCTCTCTCCATATATATATATAATATTAGTTGTCAATACATATATATATTTATATATATATTTATATATATACACAATCACGCACGCACACACACACACACACACACACACATATATATATATATATATATATATATATATATATAAATGAATTTTCATGAGGAGAGAATCCACGTAGAACTCTATGTCCAGGACAGAGTAATGATATAATAAAAAACGCCTGAAACACTAATATTCCATGGTTATAATTTATTACATTGTAATCGTAATTACGATCCAATACATCAGACCTACGAACTAGAGAGAGAGAGATAGGAAAGGTGTGAATCCTCTTCTTCTCCCTCCAGCTATGGGTAAATATCAGACCCTGGGTTCTATAACCTTGGACGACAACTGGTCTAGGAGAAGGACAACTCTGAATTCAAAACCTGCGGAGTATTGTTTGGGGACCTTGTCGCACATAGTGCACCAGGTCTCTTTATTCGGCTCTTCAAAAAATGCACACACACACACACACATATATATATATATCTGTGTGTGTGTGTGTGTGTGTACAGAGATACACAGAGACAGAGTCAGAGAGAGAGAGAGAGAGAGAGAGAGAGTGTATATGAGTGGAAAAAATATATGCCGAAGTGAGCAGGATATCTATATTTAGACCAATTAGCTAATCTTCATTACAAAAATTTTTCTTTTGTTTCAACATTTTCTAAACATGGCGCTTGGGCAATGCATTATTTTTAAACAAATTTCATTAATTACTTTTTAACAAAACGTCCATTCAGTTTTCATTCTTTTGTTCTCCAGAGAAAAAAAAAATAGGAATGTTTTTCTATGTGAAAACGTTTTCTTTTCTTTTTTGTCTCCTTTTAATCTCTGGAGAACATTAGAAAACTTTTTAATGAAAAGCATTAAAAACACGAACAATGTATATTAATGGTGGGAGGGTGGTATGAGGCAGGGGTTGCAGTCGTCGATTGATAGGGAGTGTCCGATAGAGAGGAGAACGCGGGATTAAAATAACGAATTCTGATTGGAAATGGATATCACTCCAATTATAGAACTTTTGTTCGACACTGCCCACGACATTAAAAGATTATTGAGTAAAGTTTGTTTAGTATAAGGCTAATTTACTTTGAGGTAATGGATAGCGGCACGGATTGAGGAATCTGAGAGCCGAGTTCGAAATCCAGTCAAATCCATTATAATCACATACGTGCCAATACCGTATGAATCCTCTTTATCTCCCCCTATGGATAAATAGCAGGACTGAGCGGGTTTTATTATCCTTAGGTGTCAACCGGTCTAGGATTAAGAAAAAACTCTGAATTCCAAACCAACCTGGAGAATGTCCGGCTTCGTCAGGCTATTTTGCATAAGAAATGCCGCTCAGTGGCTGATGTACACATCGTATCCCTACGGATCACGGCATAAAAACAAACAAATTAGAAAAAAACTACGAAGGTAATAAATGTATTCGTCATCGCAATGCATTTCTAAAGGGTCAGTACGTAGCAAACCCTCATTAGAGATTCATAGATGTAGGACATTTTTATTTATTAAAAATTTAAAACCATTTTATTTATTAGTTTTATTTTTTATTATTAAATTTTGAATGCGCGAACCGACAGGCCTAATGAAAAAAACATTGTCCCTCTATTTCAAATGCGACGATTTCACGAAAATTAATTTTTGAACTTTATATATATATATATATATATATATATATATATATATATATATATATATATATATATATATATATATATAATCATAGATAACTAGACTCGTTTCGAAAATATATATATATATATGCGGAAATTCATGTTTGTAGCTCTTTTTTAAAACCTTTTTGCCCTCAATATTGATTTGATTATTCGCAAATCAAAAATTCGAGGGTTTTTCGAAACGAGTCTAGTTATCTATGATTATATATATATATATATATATATATATATATATATATATATATATATATATATATATATATATATATATATATATATATATATATATATATATATATATATATATAATATAGTCTGAAGTGCTTTACCGATTGAGCCACAGTCTATATGACGGTTCCGTATAGGATACAGGTTCGATTCCTGTCGGAGGACGCATATTTCCTATGAAAATTTCTCAGACATTCAGGCCGGTAAATGTCGTTTAATACTGTTTATTATAAACAGGGCATTTACTTAAATATGTGTGTCTATAAAAAGAACCTACAAACATAAAAAAATGTTTTTTATAATTATTGTCGGACTTTTTCCATTTCATATATATATATATATATATATATATATATATATATATATATATATATATATATATATATATATATATATAGAGAGAGAGAGAGAGAGAGAGAGGACTCTACTATCCTGAACGATAAATGATGGTCAGCAGTGGATATGCCTTTTTGTTTTAAACTTATGCATGCTAGCAGGGCTATTATGGAG